TGGTTCATGTCCTTTGCCCACTTTTTACTGGGGTTGTTTTTTTCCTGTCATTTTGAGTTTCTTATAGATCTTGATTGCTAGGCCTTTGTCGGATGCATAGCTTGCAAATATTTTTTCTTATTTCGTAGGATGTTTCTTTACTCTCTCAATGGTTTCTTTTGCTGTGCAAAAACTTTTTAGTTTGATAAGGTCCCAACTGCCAAAATCTTAGCTTTTATTGCATTTGCTTTTGAGGACTCAAAGTCCTTATCTTTTAGAGAAATATATTGAAGCATATAGAGATGAAATGATCTACTGTAAGAAACTTGGGTGGAGGGTACAGATGAAGAAGATTTTCTAGTTTCTAATTGCTGAAACTTGGTAATGGCTATCTGAGGTTTTATTATTCTGTTCTGTCTTGTGTTTACATTTTTGCACAATACAATTTTTTTGAGGCCAGGTATGGTGCTCATGACTGTAATCCAGGCTCTTTGGGAAGGCTAAGGTGAGAAGATCTATTTGAGGCTGGGAGTTTGAGACCAGCTTGGGAAACATAGCAAGACCTTGTCTCTATTTTTAAAAAAAGAAAAAAATGTATATTAAAAAGAAGTTTTTCTAAATTCTTTGTCATATTGTCTCATAAAATTAATTTCATCCAAAGCGAACTTATATTTTAGTTGCTGGTTTTATTGGTAACCTTTCTAAGAATTATATCTCTTCATATATTTGAGATTTGGTTTGCGGGCTCATCTTGAGTGGAAAGTTTGTTTTTTTTCTTCTTCTTTTGCATTGCTTTATTTTCTGTTTCACTTTTTGCATGGCTCTTTCTTCCTCCTTCCTAGCTTTTCTGTGGTCGCCTATATCTGCACCCCATTGCAGAACCAGGTCTGATTTTGGCTTTTTGAGGTACATCTCACAGTAGTACTGGTGATACTGCAGAGCTGGGAACTGAAGCAGTGGGGCATGAGGTTCCTTTGTGATCTGTGGGCTGGATCTATGGCCTGTGGGCTGCCTAGGTTTAAGCAAACTGAAAACCATGGTCCTAGATGGAGATCGCCTAGATTTTTTTTATGTCAGCTTCTTATTTTAGGGGGAACCTGAGGCTCCAGGTAACCAGCCTGGTTCCAGTCCCCAGTTTGTGTGGAGTGTCTTTTATTCTGATCCTGCAGGATAAAGAGAGGTCCTGACTGCCTCTACAACTTTGAATCTGGGACCCAGCAGACCTGTGGCTTCAGCCCCACTTTCTGCTTTGCATTTCTGTTCTGTGTTTTTTATTCTGTTTGTATCTTTTTAGTCATCTGTTCTTATATTTAATCTACCATTGCTGTGTGTTTGGAGCAGGATAGAGGCATCAAAGTGTGAACTCACTGTGCTGTCTTGACTGGAGGAGGACCTTGACTAAATCACTGAAGGTTCCTTCAGTTCTCCATTCAAAGATTGGCATCTGCTGAGTAGGTTTTCATAATGGTGATATTTCACCTTTGTATTGGGGACAGCATACTTAAATTTGTATTTTTTCCCCAGAAGATTTTCTTGGAAATAGCCTTAGAGAAAATAGCCACCTGCTTACCCCACAAGTTAGTCTGTCTTATGGTCTCCCCAGGCATATCTTTTTCTGAAATTATCTTATTTATCTGCACACAAATTTGTCTTTCCCACTGGGATCTTAGCTCCATGGAGCAGAAACGTCCTCTCTGGCTTCCCTGTTACATCCCCAACCCTTTTAGGATAGTGTCTCTCTCATAGAGATACTTAGTAAAGTTATGATAAATTGCTGACTCAGTCATTGAATCCTGCCTGTGCTCTTAATTCCAGTGTCATGCTGAGAGCTGCATGTTGCATGGCCTCTCATGAGTGCCAGGAAGCCAATATTAGACTCTAGAACAGCTTTGTAGAGTGACCCGTGTTGTCTGATTTACTCCTTCCTTCATCCAAACCAGATCACTGAGTGCCTGCTCTGGGCCAGGCAGTGACTTCCAGGCATTTGTGTTGTATTCATTTTCTATAGCCCTTTTTCATATGTTACCTCCCTGTCTGTGGTCAATCATTGGAATTTCATTATAAATCTTATAGATTAGTGGAACTGGTGAGCAGTGCTTCATAGTGGATGAAGTAGAAGCAGTAAGCTAGCCACCTTGCTGGCTCACTTGCAAAGGGGCTAAGGCATTGCGGATAGGGTACAAGTAGAGTTTTGTTCATGTGGCAGAGACACACTCATCCCTCTCTAAATAGTTCATTATATCCTTACTTAACAACTGCTTGGCTGTGTTGCATTTGACATGACTAGAAAAAGAGGCCTTGACATTCTCCATATTTCTTCTCATGCGTATAAACAGTCTCTAGCCTGAGGAGGTGCTGATGGTGGGGCATCTTTGCCTGGCACTTTAGTTCTGCCCTCCATTCCTGACATAGACATCCTGCTGATACAGGCCCTGGAAGCCACGGGATGAGTGTTCCTGTTGTCTCTACCCAGAGGAGGCATCATAGTGTGTCTGTTGTGCTAGGTGGGGTGGACATTTGGATGCCCTTCCTCTACCCTGCTGCCCTGCTTGCCCCACTTGCCCCTAGTGAATGGCAACTGAGTAGCTGCATGATGGTTTTTCTTTCACATGTCATATTCCTGCTTGGCTGGGACCACTGGCCAGAAAATGGCAGATCCAGAGCCCTGGGAGGTGTTCCTGTAGGTATTGACTGCTAAATTGTGTCAGAAAGCTTCTCCTCAAATCGTACCAGTGGTGGTTATGAGTTAAGTGCTGGCCTGCACAGGTTGGCCATGCTTGCTTTCCTGGAATAGAGCTTCAGCATCACTCTTTGAAAAACCCTGTGAGAAATCCCCAGCATTCAGTCCTACTGTTTATATTTAACTTTTCTGGAGCATTGGCATCCAGAAGCATTCCAGATACCTTCTTGGCATTTTTAGATCTCTACAGCTGTCTGGGGGAGCCAAGTTACTACTCTTTCTCCCTTCTGCAGGTAAGGGAGATATATACCAAAAATTGAGGGCAACTTACTTACTATAGGTCACTTAAGGGTAGAACCAGTATTAGAACTTGACTCTCAGATTTTCAGCCTGTCTCTCAATACTACTGTCCTGGCATGGCCCTTTCCCCTAAGTCTCTCTTCTGGTGCTACACACTCGTGGGCACCAGCGTGCCATCTTGCTGGTGGTCCTGAAAAATTTCATGTCAGTGGGTGTGCATTGCCAAGGAGATAGTCTTTCAGAAATATGGTTTTTGTCTTACTTTGTATTCTTGAATGATTCAAACCCATGTGCTGATACCATAATGTGGCTTAAAATGAAAAAGGTCAGATATTTCTATGCAACAAACCTGCACATGTACCCTTTGAATCAAAAAATAAATTTAAAAAATAATTTTAAAAATTAGACCAAGCTCAGTGGCTCAGCCTGTAATCCTAGCACTTTGGGAGGCCAAGGTGAATGGATTGCGTGAGCCTGTGGGTTCAAGACCAGCCTGGGCAACTTGGCGAGACCTGGTCTTTACAAAAAATAAAAAATTAGCTGGGTATGTTAGCATGCACCAGCTACTTGGAAGGCTGAGGCGGAAGGATCGCCAGAGCCCAGCAGGTCGACGCTGGGGTGGCCATGAGTGTGCCACTGCACTCCAGCCTGGGCTACAGAGTGAGACTCCAACTCAAAAAAAAAAATTAAAAAGCTCAGGACTTGTAAGTCATATACACTTAGGTTCATAGTCCACCTTGGTCATTGGCCTAGCTTGTGCTCTTGGAAGTGGTGAGAATTTAGTGCCGTCAGGAACCTAGCATAGTGCCTGAGCACACTCAGCCCTAACATGGAGATAAGCAGTAAGCAGATGGCGTTATTCTCCCATACAGTCACCGAAGGCAGGCCTGAACTCTCAGGTCTATGTGATTCTGTCAGCCCAGATTGCAATACAGAATTGCTTCATAGTCAGCTCATGGAGGGCAGGGGGAGCCCCTGGGCCTGGGCCTGGAAAGCCCCTAAGAAGTTTTGAGGACATGGGTATCCCAGTGAGATGTCCACTCACCATCCAGCTGGCACACTGTGGTACCCATGTATCTTGCTGTGCCATGATGCTGATGGCCCTTTGTGGATGCCTGTTATGACCCTGCCCATTTCTGTTAGGGCTTTCTTCCCTTCTGAACAACCCTGTAGCGGATGGGGAGACCCTTCCATTCCAGTTTTACACATTATTCCTGAGGAAGCTGGAACTCGGTGGAGTTAAGGAAACTGTTCAAAGTCACCCAGCTAGTTAAGTGTGGGGCTGGTTTCAACCCCAGGTCTGCTGCCTTGGGTTGCTTGTCCTGGTAAGCAGAGCCCTGAACCTAACTGTAACTAGAAGGAAGGCCCTCGGCTGTGTGTCCCAGCAGGGCCTCACTCATCCCCATCAGGCAGTGGGCTGATGTGTCCCAGCACTACCCCCTCCAGCCGTGGGCTCCATGCTTCTAACTACATACTTGGATCCTGCCTCCTCCACTCAGGTGTGAGGTTGTGGTATGATGTGGTGCTAAGTGTAGGCACATCAAGGCCAGTGCACAGCAGCTGTGTGACTTAACCCCACATCCCCCAGCCAGGCACAAGTGCCTTGACCAAGGTTAAAGCCCCAGCCCCTCTCCAAGTAGCTGTGAGCTGGACAGACACCTAGCCCCTCTGTTGTGCATCTAACTTCCCATCTGAAATGGAGGATCGTAATGATCCTTTCTGCCTTTTAGAAGTGTGGTAAGGAAATAAACTATGGGAAGCACTGAGAACAGTACTTGGCAGATAGGAAGCATTCAATAAATGTTAGTGATTATCATCTGTGAAATGGTTATAATAATTACCCACCTTGAAGGGTTGTTGTGAAAATTAAACACAGTATATGAAAGTTATCTGGCATATCATAAGGTTTTCAGTCTGTTATTGGTACTGTTGCTACTGTTCTCATTGTGAATGTTGTAAGTAGAAATGTCCTTCGCCTTCTCCCTGCAGCACCAGCCCAGTACCCTTGCTGCTGGCTAAGTGGACTCTGTTCTCTTCCCAGCAGGCCAGGGAGCTGGAGACCAGAGAGGCAGAGCTAAGACGCCGTGACAGCTTCTACAAGGAGCAGCTGGGGCACATCGAGAAGAAGGTGAGACTCGTGCTTGGCTGCACTGGACCAGAATAGCCACCATCATGAGGGAGAAAGGAACAGGAGATCCAGTACCGATTCGCCCAAGTGCCAGTCACCCCGTGGACACACTCTCCCACATTCTGCAGCAAACACCACAGACTCAGCTTTTCAGCAATTGGCATTCATGGACATCATTGGTTTTTAATTGCCCCCCCACCCCCTTTTTGCTGTTGTTGAATGTGACTAGCTCTGCTATAGTTCAATTTTAGAAAAAATTCACTTTCACCACAGGGCAGTGCTGAGACCCAGACTTTTTCGCTTTAGTTAAGACTGCATTGGGTAAAAATAATAATAACGTGATGTCTTGCTATACAAATACATTAAAGTTGTATTATTGATTCTCTCCTGGGAGTTGAGAGGATCAAAGTGCCCTACTGCTACACACACACTGCTTTTCTAAGGATAAGCCTTTGAAATGAATGAGATTTAAAGACACATCATCATGCCTGTTTTTAAAAAAGCCTACAATGACTCTTGAAAATTCATTTGGTAACTTACTTTCTGGGAGGTTTAATTTGTTGATCATGACAGATTTTTTCAAAGAAACGACTTAAAACATGGGAGGGGATGGTTAGGAGGTTTAAAAAAATTGTTCTTCCTCATTCCTGAGACAGCATGCCAAGCAACCTGAGCCATCAGCTTATTGCAGGCAAATCTTCACAAATCATTTGTCACGGATTGGAGCTTTGAAATTGACAGTTTGCTTGAGGGGCCTGATTTCCAGAGAGGTTTTCTTCTGTGGCATGCCACGGCGGAGCCTGGCAGAAACGTGGATTTCTGGATTTCCAGGCAGTGGGGACAGAAAGGTTACTCCCCACTCCATTGACACCCACTTGTCTGCCTCTGCAGAGTGTTTAGGGGATGGTCAGAATTGGTGTGCTGTGAAGTCAAAGCGCTGACAGTGACATTCCGTAGTCTGAGGGATGGCAGTGCACCTCTGAGCTGCTTTCAGAGAGGCCCTTAACAAGCAAATCTTTCACAGAGCAGCCTCACGCACAGGTTTAACTGTAGCTTATAATGACAAGGATTGTGATTTGAAATCCTGGAAAAGGGTAAAAAATAATTCCCCCAGCCATAGCTCTAATTATCACAGTTTGCCCATATGTTCATAGGCACAGGACTGTGTGTGTGTGTGTGTGTGTGTGTGTGTGTGTACAATTCTGTGGTCTCTTCTGTGCTCCCCCTATGCTTCTCTCCCTGGGCTTGGCTGCTAGAGGCATGTGTACATGTATTTGTTTAGGATGGAAGGGAAATAGCCACACGGCACTTTTCCTCTTCTAAAATCTATTTTCCCCTTGTCACTCCTCTCTCATCTCTACCTTAGTTCTCCTCCTTAAAATCAATTCTCTGCTTTGCTGAAGTAGAGGAAATTCTCCTGGTTGAGCTCTTCTTTTTCTTCTGTTCTTCCCAACTCATCATACAGCCAAGTCTAATCTCCTTACATATGCAGGTGTAGGCTTTAAAAAAAAACAACAAAAAACCTGAGGTTTTCCTGCGTGATTGTGAACAGTTACTAAATACTTCCAGAAGGAGGTGCAAAAATATCTCCTTTCTGACTCTTAAACACAGTATTTTGCTGGCGATGATAGAAAAAGAAAAGCACCCCCAACATCTCTGGACATGGAGATCAGTTTGGGAGATAGGGGGATTATAGGGACCCCAAAAACAGGGAGGAAAGAGGCAGAATTATAAAGCTTACTTGTATTAATTTCATAAAAGGTTTTCGATATCTGTGAATAATTTTATTCCTGTAATGGCTGGGAAGATTGAAAACACAACATACAACAATCTTTTTTTGTTAGCTGTTGCTTTCATACAGTTCTGTTTTCATTTGTTGAATACTCGTCGACCTTGACATTTTCAGTTTCTGAACACACGACTCCAGGACCTTCCAGTCATCATGCTCCTTTCCTTTTAAGTTTAGAAATTGACTGTGGAAACGTGTTTGGGGGAAAGTTGGATCAGCGGCGGCATCATCCTTGACCACCTGCAACAGCTCAGTGGGGTCACAGGTGAGAACAGGTTGGGACGTGGGAGGTGGAGCCTGTGGTGCAAGAGGACCTGTGCGAGTCCAGGGGCCCCAGGATGGGATCCTGCTGCTGTTCACCGTGGGTGCCATCTTGGAGTGCTGGTCTGGCCTCCCCCTGCCATTATGACTGGTGGGTAGGGAAAGCCTGCACAAAATGCAGTCTTGTTTTCAAGGAGGAAAAGACTTCTTGGCCCTCTTGTGTGCAGTATTCCCTAGATAATGATTCTTGAGTGTGGAAATCATATGTTGTAGGTCTCCTGTACTTCATAATCTTTCTGAGTGATTGTTCCTCATGCCCACACTACAAGATCTAAGTGAAGAGCACTTTTCCCTTTCCCCACAGAGAACAGTGAGCTTTTGAGGACACAGGGGCCTTGTGAGGATCTTATGGCACCTGAGGTAGGAGGTAGGAGGCTGGACATGGTGTTCACAGAGGGCAGCAGTGTGGTGTAACTGAAGATGTGTGCGTACCATGGTCTGTGGACCTGGGCCCACATCTCTGTGTCATGGTCCTCTGCAGTCACTGTGCCACCTTACGACTCAGTTTCTCCATCTGTAAAATGGAGATAACTAGTGCTTACTGCTGAGAGTTAATGGGAAGATACATCTGCAAAAGTGTCAGCATGTGCAAGGTTCCCAGTATACAGAAGTATTGGGAATTCTGTTTTATGTCACAGTACTTCAGGTTTGGATTAATGTATTAGCATGTGTGGGCACACACATGTATTCATCCTGAGATGGATCTTATCATTGAAGGGGTCTGACTTCACTTGCTCTCCGGGATGGAGAAGGCTTTCCTCTGACTTCTCTTGGCTGTCCTTGAGTACCTGTCGAGGTATCCCGTTGGTCATGCAGTGTGCAGCAAGCTGGAGGCCATGCTCCTCAGGAGTTTCTCACATGCCTGACAGTGTCCCAGCTCAAGGCCATTTTCCATTTCTGTATGTTGCACCTGTGGACCAGGAAGGTGAAACCCTCAACTGCCTGCACTTTCTGAGTTGTGGCCGCTGACCCTTTGCCATTTTAGCTGCTCTCCTGCTGGACACCTGGCTCCAGAGCATTTGCTCAGCTGGCACTTTGTGATTTCCTATAGAAAGCAAAGGAACTAGGGATTCACCCACAGGATGCCTGGATTCAGGCATCATGCATCTAAACGTGACTGTGCCTCTTCAGAACCAACACACTTTATTGTCTTCCAACAGAAACTTGAGTGCTGAGTAGCTCTGAAGTGGACCCTGACAGCTCTGACAGTAGACTGTGGAGCTGACTGCTCTGGATGGCCAAGGCCTTGTCTTCTTGGAGTTGACCATGGAGTCGAGCAGGGTAGTGGGGATGAGTGGGCTTTGAGATCTGGTGGACCTCAGTCTAGTTCTGCCTCAGTAATGTGACAGCCTTGTGACTCTGAGCATGTTGTTTACATTCTCTAGGCTCTGTTTTCTTATCTTAGAAATGGGAGTTTTAAGACTAACCTGCTAGTTATGAGGATGAGTGGTAATTTGTGTAAAGCAACCATCAGAGTGCCTGACATAAGTATTCAGTTCTTTTTAATGTTTCCATCCTTTTTCTTCTTCTTTCATTAATTCCACATTGTTTTAGGTCTGCTAAATGTCAGGAGCAGAGATGGTTTAGATAATTGTGGTTCCTGCCTCACAAAATCCACAATCTGGTTGGGGAGGGAAGGGGGATGTTGAGAATTGGGCACCAGACGGGAGGATGCCCATATACCAACTTCCTGTGGCCAGATGACCTCCCAGCTCTGTCAAAGGCCCAGTCTCCCTTTTTTCAAACTCACCAGCTGCAAAGTAAAGAAGGTATTTGGGGGAGCTAGCTTCAAAGACTGAGTCAGGGAGAAAGGGAGAAATTGAGAAACATGTGTGTTCTTCCTGGACTTCATTTCTCCTTCTCCCAGATTTTGGCTTCCTTTCTGCCCCTTTCAGATGTTTCCCTGCACTGCCTCTGTGAGCATTCAGCCCTTTCTCCCCATTTTTCTCTCCACTTCTGCTTGCGCTTTCTTAAGGGAAGACTGTGATCTAATCCTTTCAGCCCTGCAGTCTTTCCATTGATGGCACTCAACAAACCTTGCCTCTTCTAGCCAGTCTCTTTCTTGTCCTTTCTTGTATCCGTCAGTATGTTCAGGAAAACAGATGCCACACTAGGTGTTTAGAGAAGAAGATGTTAAATATAGGGATTCTACTTCACAAAAGAAGGCACAGGCATCAAACATGTGAAAAGGGCTCAACCTCACACCGTATCAGGATAGTGCAAATTACAACCCACAATGTGATACCATTACCAACTCAGTAGAATGGCCAGTTGACAAGATGGACAGCGCCAAGTGCTGATGAGAATGTGGTTTAACCCACACTCTTAGACACTACAGGTAGTGGTGTAATTTGGCATAGCCACTTTGGGAAGGTGTTAGCCAAGCTTCTGTTAAAACTGAACATAGATATATCCTATGGCCTAGCAATTCTGTACCCAGCAGAAATGTTTCCATAGGTTCATCTAAAGAAATGCTGTAGAATGTTCATAGTAGCATCATTCATAATAGCCCCAAGCTATCAACAGTAGAATAGATAAATTATGGCAGTAGTCACGATGGAGTCCTGTACAGGAATGAAAATGAACAATCTGCAGCTGCATGCAAAGATGTTGATAACTCCCACAGACACACTGCTAAGCAGAAGAGGACAATATGCAAGAGTACCTGAAAATTGTATGCTTCCATTTATACAAGAGTTGAAAACAGCAAGTCAAGTCTATGTAGCAAGCGGGATAAAGGTTACCATGTGCTGGCAGTAGTGACTAGAAAGGGACACGTGGGGTAGGAGTGGGCTACCCTTTCATGACCTGGGTGTTAGTTACAGGTGTGTTCAGGTATGCAGCTGAGGAAGGTGTGCAGCTGAGGAAGGTGTGTGTTCAGGTGTGCAGC